CCTCCCCGCCGCGTACGCCGCCTGGCCGCACCTCCGGCGGGTGCGGAGCTCTGAGGCGGGGGATCGGGCTGCCTTGAGAGCAACGGGAGCCCGGCTGCCCCGGGCTGGAGCACTGCTCAGTCTGCTGGGTGTTTGTGCCCCGCTGGCTCACGGAGCAGGAGCTGAGGGGCGGCACTGGGAGGTTGCTTGGCTGCAGCCTCGCAGGGGTTCTGTGCTGGCAGAAGTTCAGAAATACCTCTCAAATCCCAGCTTAGCAGCAGAGAAGCCATCCTCCCCTCAATTTAAGAGAACAGTGAATCCCCACCAAAGTTGCCAAACCACCTGTAAACTCTCACTTTCTGGTATTTTAGTAGTCCTTATTTTTTGGAGAGCATTTGGAGCTCTGAGCTTCCCACTGTACATGGCTGAAAATTCATCTGTTGCATGACTGAACTGCAGCATGTCCTGTCCCATAGTGGCTGCATAAATCCTTTGTGACCAGAGGTGTACCCGGTATGTGAACGAAATTTTCCTGTTGCCTATTGCGAGGCACCCAGTTGCCATGTGATGGAGAGTCACTGGATGTGTCTAAATTAGTACTTCAGTTCAATTCAGGAGTCAGCTTTTGAAAAATATTTACTGTTTGTCCCTGTATAACAATAAAATGGTTTTCCATTTCGAAAGAAGTTGCTTTCCCAAAAGTACTTAGAAAAAGGAATATGCAGTCAGCTAAAGGAGATACCTGACTAAGGAGGTACCAAAAAGAAAAAGTTTATGGCCAGCAAGTATTGTCTAGGTTTGCATACCTGCAGTGTGTCATTTGTTACATTGTTTCATATATATGTGAAATGTATGAATTCTAATGTAATTACAGCACATATAGCTATATATTTGTGTGTGTATATATATACCTTATTATTTATTCCATGTACTTAGCTCTTTAGAAACTGAAGGCTAGGAGTAAGTTTTGCCTGCATGTTACATAATGTGACAGGCTTTTTTAAGTGATATGTTCTCAATAACATAGATTTTTAATCTTGTTCTCTAAACATTTTAAAGAGATGGAGGAGCTGGCAGAGCATGGTATTTTCTTGCCTTATAATATGCAAGGACTGACAGATGAGCAAATCGAAGAACTGAAGTTAAAGGATGAGTGGGCAGAAAAGTGTGTACCAAGTGGTGGAAGTGTCTTCAAGAAGGATGAAATTGGGCGAAGAAATGGACATGGTAAATCAATCATAAATGTTTGTTTCTTTTCCTGCAGGCACAGATAATCTATAATATAATGAGGAACAGGAAAACTGTAATTCTGGATCTGGACTTGTACCTCACTGTCCTGGAAGGTGAAAAAAAAGAGTTGATATTAAGTATACATATTTCAGGCCAGCATGTTAACTGGCTCATGTTTATCTGCTAATTATAAAAATAATCCTATAAATAAACTATATTAAAGGTACTTGTAGATTTGTTAAGTAGTAGCTATTTCAAGAGCCTGCGTTCACAATAGATCAGCTAAAATATCAGTTACATATTAAAGTCTTCTGTCTTGGATTAGGGCCTGGTGTAATGTTGATTTAAAAGCGTAAGTAGTAGTATATCTCTTCAGCACATGTGTTATTTAACTTTGCAACTGTAGTACTTGGAAGTATACTCCCAAGATAAGTAAACAATTATCAGAAGCAAGTTTGACTGTTTCACTTTAATTTATTCTTCCCATTTTAAGTGCATACTTGTGTACTATTTTTCTCCAGAGGCTCCAAGATACATTAACAGGTTGTTTTTCTAATATTTGCTGTGACGCAGACTTAACTGAACTCACTCCTGTCACTTTTTCCTTCTGCAACTCCAGCCAAGTGGTTTTGCCTTGGCACTTGGTATGTGCATCGACCACCACTTTAGAGTCGAGAGCATCAGGACTGATTGCACAGAAGAGACGGCGATTGTCTTCTTGCTGTCTGTCCCTGTACTCCTGACACCACAAGAGCCCTTGTTGGGTCAGCAGCCCTTTAGACGTTGATTGCAGGGCAGCGCAGTTAAGGAGGAATCTTTGAATAACTTGGTCTTAACTTGTCATATGCAAACAGCTTACTCCGAGTGTCTTACTTTGGGGAAAATAATTCTTCTAACACAACACATTGCCCAATCAAATTTAAGCCTTTGCTGAACTTGCCTAAGAGATTATATTATAGTGAAATGTTTTCCCTCCTGACTGTGTTCTCAGAAATAGCTGAGTGTCTCGTACGTAGGCATGTGGACAAAGCCTGTCTTGTTTGGCATGGTTGTGAGCAGTGTCGGGCCTTACAGTAAAAATTTGCAAGCAACGTTAATGTAAGGACAGTACCACTTGTAGTTGTACTCAGGCATTTATTTGTTAGTGGGAGGACAGCTTTGTAATATTAACAAAATTATAATATTGAACAGCGTGTAAATGTGGGCCAAACTAAATACCATCAATAGCATTTAAATGTTCAGCTGTGAATAATTATGATTTAATTGTTTTTTTGTTTTTGAGGAAAGGCTTTTTATAACAATTAAAATAGGTAACTATAATATGAAACACACATTGTATTTGCAAAACTGCATTTGCTGAATTGAAATAAATTGAAATTTTAATTGGAAAAAAGTCAGAAAACTCCAAGCTCTTGTCCCCTTTTATGCACATCTGCCAGCACAGCCCACAACAGTCGTAAGTACCATGGGAAAGAGAGTCTTGGTTTTGGTTGTGTGAGTATGAGATTATGGCTGTTGCTTTCTACTCAGCACTTTCGTCCCAAATGAAGTTCCAAATACCAATCAAATGTCTTTGTGGAAAAGTAAGTTTGGTTCTTCCAGGAGAAATACTGTTTTGTTTCTTAAGTTAGTAGGAAATGGCAATGAACTAGCAAACTGGTAAATAGACTGCAACTTAGTAGTGTCTCTCTTGCTTTGTGATTTAACCATGTTTCATTTGCTTACAGTAGAGAATAACCTGGACAAGTCGTTTGCTTGGTTTCTTTGTAGTAAGTGTAGAATATTAAATATGCATCTCTTCTTTTTAGCTCCAAATGAAAAAATGCAGCAAGTTATAAAGAGGACAATAGAGGAAGCCAAGGCATTAATCTCTAGGGTAAGTTTCCTGAAGTAGCGTGTGGTATGTAGGACTTTCTTAATAGTTGGGCAGCTTAAGAAAAAATAGACTTTTTTCAGTGCAAGGGCTAACAATTTTTGAGTAATATCATGAAGTGATGTGAACAGTCTAATAAAAACTGATGTTTCTGTTAATGATTTTCTTAATGGCTTTTGGCAACCTGGTTCAACAAGTTAAGGAATCAGATGTTAAACTCCAAGTGAATGCTGGCAGCCGAGACCACATTGAATGATTAAATCACATTTAATTTTATCCACACGCTCTTAATTTGCTATTGATGCATTCTTTAGACGGATGCTTGTCGTGTTTTCTGGTGAAAAATTAACTGCGTTCTGTGATGTTCCTGGAAGAAAATACCTTTTGCTCATTAACATAGTCTTTTGAGTTTTATGTATAATTAATTGAAAAATGTGTTCTAATCTCTTAGATTAGGCCTTGGTTTTACAAGCACTTGGACTCATGCTCAGTCCCAATGAGTTTGTGTGTTTAAAGATAAGTGTGAGGGTATGCCCTGATGGGACTATGGTCTCAATTATTCAGCTTCACTTTACCAAATCTGTAGATGCTCTGTATTGTGTCTCAGCTTTCATATGACTTTGAAATACAAATTAAGTAATATTTATTATCAGATTGCTTTTTTGGAAACATCTGCAAGTAATTTTCTTCTCCCCACCCCTACAATTCTGGGAATTAGTATGTGTGGAACTTTGAAACAACTTTAAACCGGTTATGCAAATAGATAATGTTACTGAATTTTTAGTGTTGCCTGTGCACTTAAATTGGCCTTCTTGGCTGTTTCGTTGCTGATAACAGTGTCGTATCAGCCATTTAGAGTGAGCAGCTCAGTGTTTCTAAAGGCCTCAGGGAGGTAAGCAGAGGAACTGCCCCATTGCCTGGCAGTGCTTCCAGTGCGCTGAGTTGCACCAAACCTTTCCTGAATTGAGGCAGGATTTCAGCCAAACTGTTCTGAGTCATAGCAAAATCTGCACAAAATGAGAGATGTTTCAGATTAAAGCTTCTGGACTACAAAGATTTTCTCCAGATGGACTTTTTTTTCTGTTGGATTGCATCTCATCAACTCTATTTCTAAACAGGGAGGAAATTAATAATATGTAGTTTTACTTCTCGAGTCAAAAATATCTGTAGATCTGGTCTCCACTTTGCAGGTCTTCCTGGGGTGAAACTTCCAACTATATACCATGTTGTCATTTACAACAAAAAGTTGCAAAATTGCCACACTGCATGCTGACTTACTCCAGAAATTACTGGAGTGAAATTACTGGTGAATGAAATTAAGGATAGTTTGTGAAGTGGTTTGTTGGGTTCATCACTTTATAGTGATGAAAATGAAGAAATATGCCTGTATTTAAAACATTGATTGAGAAATCAATTGTACTTGCCAGTTAACTAGTTTAAGAATGTCCACAAGGAGGCAACATTCTCTTATTCTCTTTTTTATAAACCTTGTTACTTAAAATATCAGAACTGTTAAATCCATAAGCAAAAACTTTTTCTTTCTCTTCCAGATACGTCTTGTTTTTCCTCTATCGGTTGCAGTAGGATTTGGAATGATCTCAAGTATTTGATCTTACAGATCTCTGCATAAGCTGTGCCATATGCCAAGCTTTACTCTTCTGCTCACATGTGCTCTATTTTTTTCTCTAATTTTAGGCCCCTTCTCTAGCCCTCACTTGAATTCTACTGGTTTGAATCTTGTTCATCAATCACAAGTACTTGGAACAAAAGACTCCCCATCCAGTTTCTGTGGTCATATGCGTACTTACTTGAATGCCTGTATCCCACAGACATTTGTTACTAAATGCCTCCTACACAATTTAGTGAAGATCTCTCTTCCCCTCCTCCCTCCACCCCCCCCAGTGTAAGCAAGCTAAATGGAGGGGGCAAAAGTGTAGTGATGTATTCAGAAGTCGGTATTCAAACGAGAAAATTTGTACTTTAATAACTTTGTGCAGCCAGTTAGCTTTGCTCAGATATCCCACTGTTGAACCTTTGAACTGACTACAAAGCAAAGTCTTTCTTCATATTTTTTTAAATTACCAATGATCCCTGCCTGTATTTCAGAAACAAGTTCAGGCCAATGTGTGTGTTAATATGGAGATGGTGAAAGATGCATTGGACCAGCTCCGAGGGGCTGTGATGATTGTGTATCCGATGGGATTGCCTCCACATGATCCAGTTAGGATGGAGTTTGAAGATAAAGAAGACTTGTCGGGAACTCATGTATGCAGTAATGTATTTGAATTATATGAGTGCCTAGGTTAAATATGTGCTATGCTGTTCTCCATTTTATCAATGAAGGTTGTTTTCACTTGCATGACAAGTTTTGTTTAATATTTTTGTCTGATAGTTTATGTAAAAGCACACCAATAGCTTAACTAGAAATAAGATGAATGAAGTTTATTTAAAATGTTACATACAAAGTTCAGGTAAGTCTGGGACTCATTTTAAATAGCTTGTAATTTCTTTCTAATGCCAGTGTTGAGAATTTATTGCCCGAAGTGTTTATGTCAGATCAAGATTGAATGGAATATGAACGAAAATGCTGTAGATTGGTATGAGGAGAAATATGTAGCAAAAGTATAGTGTAAAAATTACACTGGCCTTTCTGTTAGACATTCCAGAAAGATTTTCCCAGAAAATTTTTCTGGTTTTGGAAAAAAGCAAAGAACAACCCCCCCCAACACTTCAACTTGTTTGTTTATTTGTCACAGGCTGGACTTGAAGTTATAGAAGAATCAGAAGCACAATTATGGTGGGCAGGAAAGGAGTTGAAAGAAACAAAGTTGCTGTCTGACTATGTAGGCAAAAATGAGAAAACCACCATCATTGTCAAGATACAGAAAGTAAGTATCACTGGTAGATTTCTTTACAAGTTATTCACCTCTGTCTGTCTAGTTCTCTGTGGAAGAGAATTGTCCGTAGGTGTATAAAATGGATTAGATTCGTTCCGGCTTGAGTGTCTTAAAACTGTACATCTATTTTAAGGTTTTAATTTATTATGTTAGTAATTCCTTTGCCTGTCAGTTAAATGCTGTAGTTGCCATTACTTGCTCATTAGCACTTTTCTAAAGTACAGCAAAGAGGTATTTAAAAATAGATGAAATACAAACTGGAAAGTTTAAAAAAACCTCAACTGGCTCTCAGTTCCATCTCAGTGCAGAGCACTGAACAGACCCAGTCATTCAGTCTGCCCATTTTTTCTAATTGTACTTGTGAATGTTTTTGTCTCCATATTCTGGCCTTTAAAAAACAGTTTTAATGTTTTGCGCATACCTGGTGTGGATGCCTCTCATCCCCATTTCAGTCTGTTCTGTGTCTTAAAGACAGTGTCTGTAACTCAGTAATTTCCTGCCTGTGATGTCCTGAGCTTCTTGACAGCAGGTCCTCAAACTGTCTTAGTTGCCTTGGAAATGTGGACATGCATCTTCTTGGAGAGGACACGGGTTGTGGAAGAGCCTGAACTTAGGCCCTCCCAAAGCGTTCAGTGAGAAGTCGCTGAGTGCTAGAAGGAAGAACAAGCTGCTGGGCCTGCACCACCCTGTTGTGCTGTTGGCTCCAGCTCACCTAAAGCTCCCAGCTGAAATTTTTTTTAAAGAAATGAGACTTCCCAGTTGTCAGATGTGGTGAAGCAGATGAGGCCTTCTGTATTAATTGTGAACACAGGTCTGAATCATCCTCTGGAGTAATGAGCTAAAATGAGGCAAAGATCTCCTGCTGCTCCTCAGTTTTATGGACCTGATGCTTCAGCAAAAGCCAGTCATTAAGTGTGTACTGGTGTCTGTCGCAATGGTCATGTTCTTGCAATATCAGAATTAGTACCACGCTACTGTTCATTGTTTTTTTGGACAAAGTGATTTTGTACTAACTGCGCAGTTGTGTTCATCTCTGGTGAGAATGCCATAATCAAGGGGAGAATGTTTGGTGTTTCAATTCACTTTCAGAGCTTTGTCAGAAGATGCTCATCCTTTTCGTGTCTATATGTATGTATGTGTATATATATATAATACCACATTCAGAGGGTGCTTTTGTGAATGTCGGATGTCTCAGAGTACTTAATCCATAGCTCAGAATTATTCTGGAGCTGCATTTCAGTTCCATGTCAGTGAGAGCTTCTCTGCCACAGAAAGCATTAATGTTTATGGCAAATGTTATTATCTGCAGGTGTCTCCAATAGAATTCCTCAAAGATAAGTCAAGTGATTTATGTGTTTGTCATTTAGAAGACCAGAATTGCTTTCTCTTTCCTATCAAGGTGACTGAAAAATTGCATGACAATTCAACAGCCATTGAAGTATAGGCTCCCAGGAAAGTTGTCTTACTGTTTAATTAGTTGATAGACCTCTTCAGAGAATGCAAAGTAGTACGGTGGTTTTCTATCTGACAAGGGATGCCTGCATTCTTGGGTTGGAGAGCTGATTTAAACCACCTCAGACCCTTTTTGTTCCAGAGAGGATTCACCATCTCCATTCAAACTGTTCTGTTTGCTGTTGTTGACAATAGCTGTCATCAGCTATTTTCTGCTGTGCACATCATTCCTTTCATGAGGACAGTTGCCTGGAAAAAAATTTTTTGCTTTTATTTGTAGTAACAAATAAATTTAATTTTATTTGTAGTGTTTTTTAACTGCCTTCCTTCCCTGCTTTACTAAGTCATATGCCATCTTGAGTCTGTATTAGCAGGGCAGCTAAAGATGGATGGGCCCATCCTGAGACATCTAGAACAGCCTTAAAGCAGAGAGATTTATTATGTCTTTTAGAGCGGAAGTTTAAGTAAAATAGACTCAATCCTGTTTGCAGCTTCCATTGATGTTCACAAAATTGACAGCATGATTCAGATGCTGAGGTGAAAAAATAATTCTCACTTGCAGCAGAATGCAGCAGAAGTTTCTCAACATTTATTTTCCTGTCCTGAGGGACCTTATTAAGTTTGAGAAATCCTATTGTCTGAAGAAAGATTTTGCTATCTTTGCACAGCAGCTTCTCTTTTGTATCACAAATGCCATCATAAATAAAATTTACGATTTCCCTTTCAGAAAGGACAAGGAGCTCCAGGGCGTGAACCTCTGATTAGTCATGAAGATCAAAAACAGATGATGCTGTATTACTACAGAAAGCAGGAGGAACTTAAGGTAACAGTGTCTTTTTACTGTATGTGAGCTGTGCTGCTGTAGACACTAACCGCAGGTTACATTCATTACTGCCGCCTTAACCTGTCGGTTCTGTTTACAGAAACTAGAAGAGGATGACGACGACTCATTTCTAAATGCTGAGTGGGCAGACAACCATGCTTTGAAAAGGCAATTTCATGGTGTAAAAGACATCAAGTGGGGGCCAAGATGAAGCTCTGCAAACACCTTTTTGCCTTTTTAAGCTGTTTGGTTGATACACCTGTTTGCAATAAGGAGTTGTGTTGTGTGCGGTAGGTTCTGCTGACAAAAGCTGAAGTTGTCACTTCCATAGCAGATGCCTGTTTCAGCCTTAGGTTTTCAATAAATGTTTACATTTCTATGTAGCTGTAGCAGCACTTATCTCTGCGAAGAATAGAATCAATCCTGTTGAAGTTCATTATTTTATTAGAAACTTGTAATTTGAATATGGAAATATTAAACTATTTCATAGATAATATATCTAGTAAATATGCATTAGAATGTTTGGTACTGTTTTGAGTGGTCTTTATACTTTCTTCCTGATTCTTGCATTTCTTTTAGATAGTACAGTCTGTTGAAGGTAATTTATTGTATAAGAAATCAATTTTCCCAGGCTAATCCAGTGCAAATTAGTGATTTTTATGTGCTTGTTTGCATTTCAACATAGCTAGTTCCAAACTATCGTTTTTAAATGAGTTGACCTCTTAACAATTGTTTAAAGGAAGTATTTTTATGTAAACACAAATAACACGAAAATCCTTGTGGAATGCTTCATTTTCATTCTTTTGGTTTAGTCTTCATTGACATTGGAAGCCAACCTAGTGATCTCATTCAGTTTAAGAAGCTGTTAGCCATGATGCTTTTATATAAAGATTGACAGAGATCTGTTTACAAAAGTAAGCATCATTTGCAAGTAGATTGGATACAATAAAACCAAGTTTAATAGGGCAAGATCTCTAACATGGAAGTATTTCTAAGATTATGACTGGATTAGAAGTGTTTAGTTTCTAACAAATCAACATTTTAAAATGAGAGATTATGAAATTTATTGGAGAATGTTTCCACTATACGCTTCATGTTTAGGATCCTATTACTGTTTCTAAAATGTATCATCAGTCAGTTCTGGGTTCAAGACTAACAAAGGAGGATTCTGATTTGGGGTACTGTGTGACTAATGGGTAATTAAATCTCTAGAATTATCTAGGTAGATAATTAATGTTTAGAAGCAAGTTACTCAAGTTTCACATGTTTAGACTTGTGTGTCCTTAAAGGAGATGCTTTTCTATGGAGCAGGTGTGCATACTCGTCAGGTCGCTGAGCAGTGGAAAGCCAGGGTGCCCTGAAAATTTTGTGTGAGGATCAACTGAGTGTTTTAAAAAGAGGTGAACCGATTGTGGGCACTCACAGCCAACAACTGAAATGGTGTCTTCGGTCATACCCCAAAGCAGTTGTCCCTAGGGCAGCAGGGAGCCGAGAACACCCACCTTTTCAGTTCCGCAGCGCAGAAAGGCAAGCCAGCTAAGGACGTTGGTTTTGTAGTTTGCAGTAGACTTCAGGAAACCAAGTTGCCCCTGCACACATGTGCTTCCTTTCCACCTGAGCCAAACTAGATCATGTTCAAAAACTCCATCAGTCTCAAGAACAGGCAGTTGCTCATCAGCTCGTAGTTTAAGTCAAATTTTAACGTGAAATATTTTTTGCAGGTGCCACGTTATGGCACTGTGGTGCTAGGGCTGCTCAGAACTCTGGAAGTCAGATGGGTTATGTTTGCTGTCTGAACTTACACCCACATTTGACATTTTTCATTGATAGTTTTTTTTTGTCTTATTCATGCCCTAATCCTTGTGTCAGGAGGGCTTAGTGGCAGAGACATTTGAAAACACAAACGTCTGAGATACTATCAACCAGAAGCTTCCTGTCTTGGCAAACCTGCCAGCGCAACAAGATGGAAGTAAATTCTGTGGTCTTTGACTGTCTGCTAAAAATACCTGGCCATGGCTCTCCAGATTCACAAATCTCAATACTGCTAGCTTGAATCTCTCTGCTTGTTTGAGTCATTGTAAAATAACAAAAAGTGTTTTGCTAGCTGTTTTTTTCCATTGCAATTTAAAAATCATCATTTTCTTTAAGTATTAGTATGGTTGAAGGGACACTGATCAAGGTAAACTGAAGTGTTTGTTGAACTTGCAGCTGGAAGGTAGAATACAGAAAAGAGAATTAATGCCATTAACTATTAAAGGTGTTTTTACTTCAATCACTGATTCTTCTAGGAAAGTTTTGTGTCTGGTAGGTGTTTTTCGAATATCAACTTTACAGTAACATGGTTTTTACCAAAAAAAAAATCAGTATGTGGGATTTTTGTAAGTTGCAAAACTTCAAATATTTTATATTTTAAAATTACTTGGAATTATTTCCATGTGTCAAGAAAATGGAGCAGATTTTAAAAGGATACCTTGTTCTGCCACTCTGTCAGATGAAAATCTGTGTCCTATACAATTCTTGGGAGGTTTTTAACTATTTCTATAGCTGAAGGCTTTTTTCCTAATGTGCTCCTTTGCCGTCATCAAAGGTTGGAGTGAAGAAAAACTGGAAATACTTAATATCACTGGCATCATTGCAACCCACAGAGATATGATGAGTCTTCTCGATCCATAACTGGGATTGGCAGCACTCAGTGAAATAATTATAAAATCATAAAATTCATTTATTTATTATAAAAGCTGTTAGTCACCTAGCTCCAGCTCCTGATCAGTCCTACCGCTTGCAAGAGGCCCAGGTTGCCAGAGGTGTTGCTGTGGTTTTTAAGGGGGCTTCTACAGATGTAAAACCTCTCCCTCTCTCTTGCGATGCTCTCCTTTATGGGGTTCACAGGGATGTGTACGAATGCTGTCTGAGGTCCCAAATTTCAAAACAGGTTCAGGAAAGTTAATTATTTTGTTTGGGCAATTGTATATGTTCTTCAACAAAATCAAATCACTATAGATTAATGACAGGGTTGTTGCACGTTTGTTTCCCTCTTTTCCAGCAATGTCCTTCTGGCAGCCAGAAAAAAATGTAGCCCTGCTTATAAGCTTCTGAAGCGAGTTGTGTGGCAGCCTGGCACATTTTGTATCCAGGGGGGAGTTATAATGTGGCGGTTCCCAAACTAAATTCCTCCAGGGATTGCTTTGTTTCCCATGCTGCTTGTGACAACACTTCCCGCTCCCCAAAATCTCATCTTTTCTGTGTAAGAAGCCGGTTGAGGACAGCCAGCTGTGCCATGTGGTTTTTGTCCTGCCGACCTGGGGGGGAGATTCCCGAAAGACGGGCTGCCCATAAGCTACCTGGTCTAGAGATCCACTCTGGGATCGGGGGTTGCAATGTGACCCTACCTCACAGCACTTATTTATTGGCATTTATGCACCCCGGTACTTATTTGCCTGCTCCTCATGATTTGAAAGTAGCTTTTTTTAGTTACTTTAGTTACTTTAGTTTAGTCATAACTGCATTGAGATTAGTGGCCCTGGCAGGAAGCTTCCCAGATGTTTTGGATCAGTTATAATGAATGCTTGAAAATATCCAACTGAATCCCTCTTACAAATAGAGCTTTCATCTTAGATTAGTAGTATTCCGAGGAGTTTGTTCTGTGGGCTCCCAGTCCTGTAAATAACTGAAGTCATCGTTGGCTTTTGGCCACTTGATTTAATGTCCTTGATAGCAGGAAAGTATTCAATAGCAGAGGAGACAAAATGAAAATAACATAAGTGGTAAAATATCTATACTCCCTGGATCTCGTTCCTTAAACCCCGCTGCACATCCACGACCGCAAGTGTTCCGTGGCAAAACCCTAACGCGTTGCTTGCGCCTTCCTCCCAGCAGAGTTCTTTCTGCAACTGGCATATGCGTCAAAGGAGCCCAAGAAGCTTTAATGTATTTCCAAGACTTGTTGAGAGTTATTGTTTCGGTGAAAAAGAGACTTTTAAATTGCCGTTATATGGAGGATTTCAGAGGGGAGCGTTTGAACAGGACCTTTGATTTCGGTGCTTATAATATTGTCATTTCCTCTCCAAAAGCGAGGGAAAATCAGGAGTAGGAAGTAATTAGCACAGAAGAAACCGCATTCTATTCTACATACCTTTGACTGCTGTTCTCTGCTGTAATTGGCCATTTTCTTCTTTAGCAGAGAAAACGGTCCATAGGATCAATGCTCTTCTGAGCCCTCACAACAGCATCTGTGGATCTGCTGGATTCATTCCTTGTGGCTGAAATGGAATGAACTTGCTGGAGAAAGATGAAAGAGTACGGGAACAAAGCAAACCCTATAGATATTTGTATATCTGCTCTAAAGAATTTGAGAATTATGAGATAGGAACGCCACACGTAGGTTTGCAAATGTGCGAAAGCGTTTTATCTTTCTTCTAAACTGTTTATTTCCGGAAGTTTGATAGCAGAAGTGCCCTTCTAGAGGGAAAATCCGTTCTCGATCAAAGGACACGCACAGGGGAACGTTGCTAAAATGTTTATTTTGTGGCCATATCACCATCCTGATTAATGGAAATTTATATTATGTGTTGTGAAAGTTGCTAATGCCGTTATAGTCCTTCACGTGCTGTTGAGGTTTCCTTGAACAGGAGCATGAGGGGGAGCAAGGTGCTGTGTGGACGTGGCTCCTGCGCCGCTCCCCCCCCCCGGGAGGTCGGCTGTGCTCCCCGGGGCGCGAGGCGGGTGCTGCTCTGCCTTGGGACGCCGATGCCGCTCCAGGCCTGCCCCTCGCCCGCCGGTGGGTCCTTCTGACTCCGCAAACATATTTTCCTGTTTCGTTTTACCATGTGAGGGTCACGGGCAAAAGCCGCCAGGGAGCTTGCATT